AAGGTGGCGGGAAATGCGTGTGCTTGTTCCGGTTCGACGATACTGCGGGCGAAGTCAGTTAATCGATGCGTTGATGCCTGGCACGATGGGGCGACACTAACTTCGGGCGTACTTTGGAATCGGATGATAGTTAGCGATACGAATGACTGTCGGGTCAACGCGCTGCAAAGACGCTCGTGAAGTTCAGAGCAGATCCTGTTAAAGGATACGATCTGGTTATTGGGCAACTTATCCAGTACTTTATTGACTTGGTGATCGTAGGAACTCCGCACTTGCAGCGGAACACCGCAATTACATGGTAACTCCGCACTCATATGCGGAAAACACCGTCGAAAGATGTCTAACATGTTGTACACTGTTTACAAATGCTGCAGAGTAATCAGTGTGAGGTGGAAGCCTACCGCCCACAGTGCTCCTCTCCAAAATCAGCATAGTACCGTGACCTTCATGACGTGAATGTCGAACTACATCGTACCAAGCAGTTATTGGAAACGCAACTAGTGATAATACTTGTGTTTTCAGGGCGTCAAGCCGCTGACTATCAAAGAACAAACTGGTTACGCCTAACCCCGAAGTTCCCCGGTTCTAGCCGCACATGCGAAGCATCGGGATTCGCGCTTCTTTGTCTGACATAAATCTGGGGTAGCACATACCATGAGTAGCTCAGCCACGACCCATTGTGTTCCTGTCGTACAAAACATAGTGCTTGAAAGTCTTTGATCGATTCGAATGTGCGGAGGCGGCTTACGACACATGTCACTTTTAAGATCGACCCGGTGCAACTTGTTTTACAAAGCAGCAAGACACATTTTCTCTTTCTGGGCAGATATTGCGAAGCTATGCAAGCCTTTGGTCGCACTGAGATATTATCTTCTTACGTCCAAGCAGCAATCTGGCAGAACACACGTGATTCTGTGCGGAAGAAGGTTGTATAAAGGACAGCTAGATCTTCTTTGCCTAGAGAAAACCAGCACTGGACGTCAACCATACAGCTACCGTTTCGCTTCTTACCTCTTTCCTCCAGATATCAACATGAGACTCTCTATCACAGTACGTTGGGTGCAAACCCTACACCTCCGGTTACAAGTGGTCACACAACACACATATTAACCCCTGACGTACCAAGCAGGCCATGCTGTTGATCGGCCTCGCAAGCCCACTCACAGCTGCCCCTACCCTCGACGTCCGCCAAACCAACGCAACCCACAAAATCACCGTCTTCGTGATGGATGACTGTCTGAAAACATTTCCGCCTGATCCTGATGCGCCTACGGTGTTCAAAGAACAGGACGTTAAATACGGACAATGCTACGACGCGGTCGACTCCAACTGGTTCTTCAGCGGGTTCCTCAGTGCGGAAAGCGTCGCCTTGGCAGGGAGCTTTCAGCCACCAGCAGCTGACAACGTGATCTGCGAGACGAGAGTCTATTTCCAACCCAATTGCGGGGGAGACCCAGCTTTGACAGACAACTATTCGGGGAAGTGTGTCAATGCGCGTTTGAACGTGCCCGATCAATTGGCTGATTTGGCCGGGCGAAGTATCAGGGTGGATTGTTGCAAAGGTGCGGCTGATGGGAAGAGGTGTTTGTATGTTCCAAAGTGAATGGAAGGCTGAGGGACGAAGTCGGCAACGTCTGATTTGGAGTTGTGGTGTCGATATACTGTTGATGGAACGCGGAGAACGGTATTTCGAGATGGCTCTTTCTCTGTACTCAGAACACTCATTTGGTTCTTTGTTTCGTTCTTGTCTTCCTCAAGCATACTGCAAGAAGCTTCCACCTTCTCGCAACGCCTTGCGAAAGTCAACCTAGCTTATACACAATGTCAACAATCTTGCAGGCAGCCTGTGTCGCGCAACTTTTACCCAGATAGGCAGTAGTTGCCCATGTACGAATGCTGAGAAGTGAAGTCTGGTTGCGATATCAAGTTCCGCATGCCGTAGGTACTTCCGACGCCAACGAGCAGCACAACATCGCTTCGGCGCGGCCGCGACTAACCAATACGCGAGGTCGAAAAAGAAAAGTAACTTCAGACGACAGCCACAACAACCACAAAACACTGATGTTGATGACAGACAAGTCTGGACTTCGTCATCAGTTCACGATGTGGTTCAGGTCGGCTACTGCACGTACTCTTACGGCACATATGCAGGTCGCACCTCCGCTCCGGTCGCCTCGCATGACCGATTCCACGCTATCGGTCCTACCTCGTATAGAAATTCATTGGAAAATTCCTTCGGTTGCCGGTGCGAATGGTCCCGCATACGCGCATCGGAAAGATCGATTTGGGGATCAGTACAGCCAGGATGATATCGCAGGCCAGCAGCCAACATCGCTCAGATCAAACTGGAGGCATCGTTGTGGCAACGTCCCCTTAACGTGTGCGTCTCGCGTGCAGATGTAAGCTGCTTTGTTCCTGCGTCGATCCCCGAAAAACTCTATTATTAGCTAGCCCTGCTTACACCTTGGCATGGTGGTGGGGTAAACTGTAGTCTGTACCGTAGCGGAACAACGCACGCGACGTGTTGTCTGATTGAGAACGAACGACGGCTCGGGAATGAGTCGATGATAATTGCCAGTCCGTCTCCCCTAGTGTGAAGCAGCTCAGTACAGCGATAAAGAATCGCGCGAGGAAGCGAGGAGAACACGAAAGTAAATCTCGGTAAGCAACCTAATCGAGTGCCGAATAACCGCGAGCATTGCACTCCAGGGCTCTTAATGCGCGAATTGTTCGGTAATAATTTCTTCCGTCTGATGTTCTCATTGGGTCAGCGCAAAGCTAAAGCCGTGGACTAGAAGAATGCGACGACAAAGCTATTCTTATCGTCTCTTTGTTGACCGGCAACCTATCTTAGCATGAGGATACAGAGTCTTGGTGGTGTACGCTGTACCTGGGCGGGCCAAAATAAGGTAAGGCTCGAGCGAACGCCGAGCTGTCCGCAAAGTCTTGACATGAGCGCTATCGCCGCTCAGGGGAATGATCACCGTCGCACAAAAACCGTCGTGTGTTAGCGCTGCAGAGAAATTTGGGACGGCAGCGTGCGCGTGGCCGCAAGTTTTGTGGGTGTGCTGTCAGGGACCAACCAGGGCCAAACACTGCATGCTTGCCCTGGACGGGACTCGGGGCTGCCGCTTATGACGCTGGAACCCGCTATTTTCTTTATTTGTTGACGGATAGGCGTTGTGGGCTTGGCCAAACCTGGAGTAAGACGGAAAGATGTCGGCACTGCAAATTCTCGTGATCTCGAATGAAAGGCCGTTTCGTGGCTTGAGGGATGAGGAAAAAGTCCGTTCGCAGCGCGCTTCGGTTGGAGGCTGCCGATTTATCTCCCGGCGAATCAGGCGACCATGAGCTCGTTTAATGGCTAGCGGTGCGTTATTGGCGCATGGCTTTTCAATCGATCGCATGTGCAGCGCATGAGCAAAGTTCTGGCATCGCGGCTGACTTTCCTGGAACTGCCAAATGCGATGGTGTTCTCATTGGCGGGGCCAAAGACTTGGGCTGTGTGTGTATGGCAGCCAATCCTGTGGGAATCCAATACGAGGGCCGCCCCTGGGCAAGGTCTTGGGGGATGAACACATGATCGCCCAACGGATAACAGATCCCAGGCAGTTGGTAAACGTCCTATCGCATTGTGGCGCGCCGTCAGTTGTAAAGCGCATGGTGCCTGTTGGCTAGTTCGGCTGTAAGATCGAGCCTGATTAAACCCTGTTAGCACCAGCGATATGGGCACAGTCAGTATATAGACTCGGGGTGCCCCTCTGACCCTTGGCAGATACTCAGTCGTATCCTTCCGTCACTCGCTTTTACATTCGCGCGACTGCGTTTGCCATTCGTTACTCTTGTTGAAAGTCGCCGGTCATTCAGTACTACACCGTGTAACAATCGTGTAATACCTATAACCATCGCTCGGTACCAGAAGATCTACTACTCCCACGACACACCACATCTCAACAAAATGTCTCTGAAGCTCTTCTCCCTCGCTCTTGCGGCCGTCGCAACTGCGTCGCCATTCGATTCCATGGCGAAAGCCACGAACGACGACCCTTACGAGGCATGCCAGCCGCAAGGAGCGACAGGCGCAACTCCACCAACAGTCGGCACAGAGTTGAGCTCCCTCTATACCGATATTCTCTCGTCGATCCAGGGCATCTCTTTCGACAAGCGATCTGTACACGGACGTGCGGACGGTTTCGGTTGCCGTCAGAGCCTAGACTGCGTCAACGTGAAGAACATCAACATTCCCATGTGCTACGACAAGTTCACCACCAACTTCCAGTTCCCAGACGGATCTTACGGAAACGTCGCTGCCGGAACCTACAGCTCCGGCGGCACCGATGTCAACCTCGTCAGCGGAGATTACACAAAGGACGGCCAGAGCGCCAACATCTACGCGAACAACGAGGCTGAGAAGCCAAACACTTCGACCCTCTCGGTCCCTGCACAGTACACCGGTACTGGTGTTGGTGGAGCAGTCCCAGTCACAGAACTCGGAAAGGTCATCGTCTACACAACCACTGTCCCGGCCGTCACATACTCGGCGCCGACAACTGTCGCGGAGACTGTCGAGACGGCGACTGTCAGTGGAGTAGAGGTCAAAACCACCGTACCCGCTACCACTGTTACGCAAGCCACAACGATCGCCGCTAAGACCAACGTTGTGACACAAACTCCTGAAGCTTCCGATGCCTCGCCGCAATCTACTGGAGCCGCCGGACAAGTGTCTGTCGACACAACAAGATCCTTTGGAATGTCGGTGGTCGGTGCTTTGCTATACGCGCTTTTGTGAGCAGTTTGCTTTCGGGAGTCATACACGTCGCAGTCAGTGAACTGTTTGGATAGAATGGCCTCAGGAGTTGTATTCGAGGCAATCCCGAATGGATGATACCCGCTGGAGTCCTAGCACATGCATGTCGTATACATCCTGTGGAAGTCCAGTATTGATGCGCCACGCTTAATGAATAATATCGTACCCTTGATATGTTTGTCTTTTCTTTCTCTCAATTGAATTTCGACAACACATCCTTTATCTTTCTCACTTCCTCGGCGTCAGCATCTTCTCCAGGCATTGTGATGGCCGCGGAGTGAAACCATTCTATTTTGGTCCTCCTCTTGAGATGTTCAACGTTGGTACTTCTGACCCCACCGCCAGCAATCAATGAGACTTTTGGACGGCACACCTCTTGCAAGTAACGGAGAACACCAGTCCCTTCCTGCGCGGTCTTCTCTCCGCCACTTGTCAAGATGCTCTTGAAACCGCATTTTGCAACGGTCTCCACGGCTCTCTCTAAATCGCCTGTTTCGTCGATTGCACGATGAAACGTGCAAGGAAGCGGAGCAGAAATCTCGACCAGCTCGCGGGTACGAGCCTCGTCTACAAGTTGATTGGCGTCCAAGATGCCAAACACGAAGCCGCTAGCAACAGGCTTAAGCATCTCCAGCTCTTTTTTCATGAGCTCAAACTCTTCGTCGGAGTAGTTGAAGTTGCCTCCCCGTGGCCGGATCATAACATTGATCGGGATCGTGACTTCCTTCCGTACATCCTGCAGCGTGGTGAGGGAAGGCGTTACCCCGCCAGCTGCGTAGTCGGCACACAGCTCGATTCGATCAGCTCCGGCTTGAGCTGCTGCGATGGCCGAAGTAGCATTGAAGCAAGCTATCTCAAGCATTATCGTGTTTGTGGGACGGGAATTGGATGCGTGGGGTGAAAAGAGCAGGTGGGCTATGGTGCTAAGCTGGCAGCGGGCTAGTGCGACAAGTAGATTGGCTGACGACACGACTACGCTCACGATAGCATGAAAATCACACTGCCAAAATCTTGGTAATGAGATGAACCACAGGATTCATGCTGTCAAAATGCAAAAGAAAATAATAGACTCAAGCAGCAAGACCTAGCACTGCCTCTCAGAGCGCACATATAAAGCCGAGTTCACCATGATTAACTTCTGTGTTTAGAGGTCCACGCCGTCACCTCACCTCACCGTTCATTCCCCTATAAAGTACGAACGGGCTCACTTCATCGCAAACGCGACGTGAAGGTGAGTTCAAAGCTGCCGATTTCCCATCCCTCCGTGCCCTTAACTACCTCACCACCACCTCCTCTTGCTCTTGACCAGACCTTGCACACCACATCCACTTCTACGCCAGAGACGTATAACACCTTCACACAAGCTCCCGCAAAACCCATAAAATATCCCCAAGATGTCAGATGCCGAGACCAAAACCCCCAACAAGACCGGCGCAAGCGGTGCCGCCTGGTCTGAAGGCGAGAAAGTATGTTCCCTCCACACCCCATCCAATCCCAATCGCACCAGCTAACCATACCACAGATCGCATACCTCATCGTCCTCTGTGAAAACGAAGGCAAGATCGATGCAAAGATCGGCGTGAGTGCTCTCCTCCCTCTTACACTACCCACCACTCACGAACTACCACCTCAAACCCCAAATCCGCACTCACCAATGTAACTTAATTCTGACAACCCGGCAGAACGCGCCCATCCCCGCCGGCCGCTCCATCATCTCCTGCAAGAAACTCCTCGTGCGCCTCAAAGAGAAGCACAAAGACGACATTGTCAAGATCAAGAACGGTCAGGCCTTTGCCCCTGCCGCTGCTGCTGGAGGCGACGCTGCTGCCACGCCTGAGAAACCCAAGCCCAAAGCCACACCCAAGAAGCGGAAGAGCAAGGTTGATGTCGAGGCCGGTGAGGATGGTGGTGAAGCAGATGGTTCTCCAAAGAAGAAAGCTACGCCCCGGGGTCGACCAAAGAAGAAGGTTGAGGCCAAGGAGGAGGTCAAGGAAAAGGAGGCGCTTGTAGATGAGGATGTGCTGGAGGATAGGTCTGAATGATACGCACTACGCCACGCAAGTATGCGTCGGGGACGTCTATCAGAAGATGTGTGACTGAGTGATCCACACGGCAGGCTCCACTAGGGGCGTAGGCAGTCTGAGAGCGACTGTGTTCTTCTTCCCGCTTGGGGGAAGGGACTGGATCTGGACTGGATTGGGAATTGGGTCATTTGTCACCCGAAGGGGGATCCAAAGAGCACGTCTGGGAATAATTTCAGATGAATGAATCCATGCCACTCTGTTACTTCTATCGTTCATACGCTACATCTTACACAGCTCACACCCATCCCTCTTCTCCAAAAAACCATCCTACTCCTCCCCCGCCTCAGCCTCCAACTCATCCGGACCCATCTCCTCTCTCGCACCCCCATCCCCACACTCATGAATAATCTTCTTCCAGCCCAACGGCTGACTTGCATCCTTGACATGCTCAATAGTAGGAAAGTAGTGTTCATTCTTCTTCATGGTCGCAACCCACGGCACATTATCAAACGTCATGACCTTCATGCGGAAGTACTCGTTATCCTTGATCTTCTTGATCTCAGTGAGGAACTCAGAGAGGTTGGGCGTGGGCACGTTGTTGACGTGAGTGACAAAGTTGGTGGGCGCGAGGCCGTACATGTAGGCTGGGGAGCCGCGGGCGCGCGACGAGATGTAGACGTCGGAGTGGATTTTGCTGATTTGTTGGCGGACGGCTTGGTGCGGGCGGTGGAAGGTGGCGCCGCAGAAGCTGACGAGGCGGTCGGTTTCGAGGTCTTCGGTTGCGACGGTCGAGACTTTGATGGTCTTCTCCTCGCGCTTGCGCACAACGACGGCGTCGAGGAACTCGTTGTTGTACATGACGTCCAGATCGGGGGAGCGGGTGACGAGCTTGCCGTTGAGCGTGAGTAGGACATCACCTTCGTTGAGACCGTCGCCGTGGCCGGAGTCGACCTTGCGGACCATGAAGAGCTGGTGGCGCTCTGGGTCGGCTGTCTCGGTCTTCTCGATCCATTCCTCTGAGACACCCATGACGCGGGCTTGGCTCATTTGCACGGTCTGGAACTCGACGTTCAGGATACGTAGCTTGGGCGTGTTGCCGCCGCGGATCTCGTTGAGCACTGGCAGAAGGTTGGGTGTCGCAAGACCGAGGTGATACTCAACATCCTTTCCGCTGTGTGATGTCCGCTCACCCAGGTATGAAAGCCAGAGAGCCTGGACGGTGCCATCCTCCGCGACGAGCACACCAGATCCACTATGCGAAGCTTGGTTTGTATCCACGGTGATGGCGTCGAAGTTGGTCGCGCGGTACCTCGGTGTAATTGCGCTGGCTGGGATCGCGACTGTGGTGATATCAGTGACAACAGTCTTTGCTACGACAGGTCGGAAGTTCTGGTTGATGCCGAAGAAGATGGTCTCGGCTCCCTTCTTGATGAAGTCGGTGGCAAACTTGGGTGTCTTTACAGGGGCGTTGACAAGAGAAGCATCGTATTTGACGATAGCATAGTTCTGCAGTGGGTGCATGAAGACAACCTTGGCATCGACAAAAATGCTGTCAGCGATGATCAACGAGATGTCGCAAAGGTCATATGGCAGGATTGCTCTTGAGACGAGGACGAGACCCTGTTCAGCGTCGACAACAAGACCGTAGCCCTGTTTGTTCATCTTAGGAAAGCCGTCTAGCTTAATGGGCATAGAGACATGAACGCGGACGAAGCTGCGGACGATGTCCACAGCCTCGGGATAGCTTGAGCTCATCTTGACGAAGTTCGCACGGCGAGGAACTGGGGGCACAGATGGAATGGCATCGGCAAGGGGCTTGAAGTCCCACAGGCCAGTTTCGTCATTACGTGTTGCTACCCGAATCTTTGCATGCCAATGCCTGTCGACAGAAGTAATACTAGTGTTCGCAGTGTGCAGATCGCGCAGATGCTTGTACATCATAACCACTCGCTTGCGATCTGGGATCTTCTTCATGACTTGGATGAAAGTGTCAAGGTCGGGTGTTGGCTGGTTGTCAACTTCCTGAATCAACCACCCTGATGTGTAGCCGTCAGCGAACCTAAAGGAGCCCGCTGCCTCGCAGACGTATACACCTGCGTTCTTGAGCGAGATAGCGTAAAGACGCGCTTGCTGGTACGAGAGGTCGTGGAAAGACGCGCCTGCGACGGAGACGAACTTGTCGGGGGTGATGGCATGTAGGTCGCCAACGTCTAGCTCGACGTCCATGTTCTCTCCAGCACGCTGTATGGTCACAGAGATGGTCTTGCCAACGTTGTCGTCAAGGATCGCATCGAGTCGGACGAACTGTGTAAGCAATTCTCCGTTGACGCGTAGGAGAAGATCACCTTCTTCGACCTTGGTAGATGCGGGCCCTTGAGGAAGGACGACCTCAGCTACGAGCATGCCTGTCTCCTTGGGAAACTGAGTGCGGATCTCCTTCTCCAGCTCAGGCGAGAGACCCAACCTCCGGCACTCGTCGAACGGCTTGAGTATCCACTGAGTCTGAATGGTGCCTCTGGTGACATGTTGGCTTTGGCGGATGAGCTCGAGAGCCCGTAGCGGTCGGTCTAGCGGCAGGAAGTAGTCGGTCGCAGCACCGTCAGCACGTCCACCGGCTTGCAGCGCAACAGCAAATCCGTCGCGGTCAACGACAGGACTGCCAGAAGAACCTCCACTCGCTGCCGCTGCCGCCTGGATGTAGTTGGTGTTGAAGTCGGAGTAGCCTTCGCCGTATTCGGGCGCATTGCGATCCAGCCGACTGATGACACCCGACAAGATACTGAGCTTCTCTCCGGCATCGTTACCAACGACGCGAATCTCGACACCGACCTTGGCATTATCGGGGCGCAGTTTGAGGGCAGTGACGGGCATGTACTTGATCTTCTTGGGGTCGAAGCGCAGGATACCGAAGTCGTGGACGGGGTCGCGGTAGACGGGGTGGACGTCGCACTCCTCGTGGTTGTCGAATATGCAGTAGCCGATGAAGGGGCCGGCGCCGACCACGTGCCTGTTGGTGAGGATGTAGCCCTTCTCGGCGTCGACGACAAAGCCCGTCGCCTCTGAGCTGATGGCCGGATCCGTGTCGAACGAACACGTCTGGCAGAAGTGTATCGACACGACGCTCTTGACCACGTTCTCTATCGTCCGCTGCCATTCTGCCGTGTCCTGCCCCGTGACGGCGGTGATGTGCGCTGACGAGGGGAGGACCTCGGGGGAGCTGTGGGCGCTGTACTCGCTGCGCGCATCGTCCATGGGCTCCTCCAGGTCGGGCGAGTGCGACATGACGCCGTTTGAGGTGTGCGAGTCTACTTCGGGCTTGATCTGCTTGTTTGGGCGGTCGGTTGCGGGCGAGGTTGGCGGTTGCTTGCGCTTGCTTGTGCCATTTTGTTCCATTGGCAGCGAGGTATTTATAGGCGGCGACGTGTGGAGGGAGCGTTTGCCGAGGGGGTGTGCGCTAGAGCTAGACAGCCTCGTGAGGTGCGGCGTGTGAAAGAGGGAGCGCGGGCGTGATGCGGACAACGGTAGGGTGCGTGAAGGTGTCGCAAGGAAGCTTCGTTTGCAGGCGGCGAGTGAGACTCGGCCAAGCAGCATGCCAATCGGGAGGACGCGCGTAAACAAAGGAAGCAGGCGCGATGCGGCTGCTGTGAATTAAATGTAGAAGGCGCAAACAAGAAGGCAAAGAAGGCAATTGATGAGTACGGAATGGCTTTCGATCGGCCAAGGATGAAAGTGCACGAAGAGCCCTGCAGCTGCATGCGCCACGGTCCCCGGTCCCTAGTGCCATCGCGAACGTCAGACTCCGCCCCGAAGGTGTTGAACCATCAACAAAGGTCGTCAG